ATCCTCGTCCCCAACGCCAGCCTCCCTCCTTCATCATCCCTCTTCTTCACTTTAAGCTCAATTCACATCAACTCTCTCTTCATGTGTCCCAACCTCCTGCCATCAGTGTTTATGTTGCCCAACATCACCTCCTCAGCTTAGAAGCTGGGTTTTATTGATGGGAGTGTGGGTACGAGGAGGAATCGACTACGACAGGTCAGAGGGGAAAAGCACACGTGTGAACCCTCACCACCGCCTGTTTGAAACTTGACCGGCAGTCCAAATTCTGTCTAACCTGCCACACATGTCACTGTTTCACACTGGGAGAACAGTCTCCAGTTTATTAGCTCCGGACAGCACGCAGCCTAAAGAGACAAGCACGTCTCAGCTGAGAGAAAAATGACTTTTATGGTGCTGACAGTTGACGGAGGGCAAAGAGGAGGGGACTGAATGGATGGATGCCTCCCAGTTCACGGTGGCGAGCCGAGCCGGAAAAAAAACCAGCCGCACACGTGTTCGCCTCTTTTTCCCGGACCGTATTATTAACGCACCAGCGGAAAACACTTAACTCATGCCTATTCAATTATGCTAATGCATACATATACAAATGACCCGGCTTAGTTATTAGCTGCCTCAATTAGGGGACATGCGTATGAGGGTTCAGACGAGAGAGAGAGACGAGTGACGGGTTGTTTGCCGTCTACTGGTGACAACAGAAGCCTCGGGGGCAAGACTTGTATTGTTTCTGTCGGGCTGGAGATCCTCTGTACTTGGAGGACATGCAGCAAGGCACGAAATCAATGTCATGCTGAGCCGGCCTTTGCATATTTGTGTGGACGTGTGTGTATGTGTGTGTGTGTGTGTGTGTGTGCGTGAGAGGCTAAATGCATGAACAGAAGCAGCTCTTATCTTTCCAACTTCTCTTAGTGTACTGAGAGGCGGCATCCAACATTTTCCCGTGAGCGCCATCACCAAAGATCAGAGAGCAAACCACACTGAGCTTTCATGCAACGGCCCGATCGCAAACAACACTTTTTCACGTCTGATTTCTCACCTTCTTGCTGTGTTACCGTTATCACACACAGGATGTAAGACACGGCTAATTCATTTATTAAACCGGCTGATTAGCAACCAGCTGTAGCACACACAGCCTTGTTTCTTGGAAATAAATGTTATTGTATCGACAATTAATATACAATAAATCTGAATCACGGATTTGCGCGTACATACATAGTAAATTCAAATCAATAAAATGGATCAACAAAGCCATAACTGACTCATAAATCTCATCTATTGCAGCCAAAGCAGATTAATCAGAATGATGTGCAGTGTGAAATAAAGCTTGTTGGATGAGAGTGTTCGTCCTCGGTGTGATGCAGTGATGCTGAGCAGGATTTTTGGGTGTGATCTTTGTCGATGCAACAACAGAACTAATATGCCAACCTGCAGTGTCATCAATTGCTGAATCTGGAGTGGGAGAGTTCAATCTTTTCTAAATGAGTTTCCATTTGGTTCCAGTTTTACTGAAATAAAGATTTTTTTGTAAGGATTAGGGCTGCAGCTATTGATTGCTTACAGTAAGTATTCCAGAACTCTACCAATTATCCCATTGATTTATCTCTGCAATAGTAAATATACAAAGAATAAATAATTGAAAAAGAATGTAAAAGAATTAGGCAATTAATTAATTTATCTTAGTTTTTTTGTTCACGATATTTGTTACCATGTCTTCTTTCTCAAAATATTTTGTAGTTTTTTCCTAACATGTTAATACTGAATACCTGTCTCTGTCTCAAACACCAGGAACAACAAAGTCTGATGTGTTGTAATCTTGTAAATATATCAGAATGTTGGCAATAAACCAACCAAACTAAAAAAAGCAGACTGTCTTCCATGAACTCAAATTCAAGCTTGTCTCCTGACATGTCGTTGCTCCGAGGGCATAAAGCTACGGAGCCATATGAAAGTGCATCATGCGTATCCTTCAATGCAAGCAAACAAAGATGAAACGCTCCAGTGATCCACATGCATTGTGGCAAAAAAACAAAACAAATTTGGCAACTGTTGTAATTATTTAGCCGGGCTACCTGGGTAAGTACTGAGCACTGTTGCCTGTGGACTCGACTGACAGTCGTTGTTGGTTCGTAAACACAAATAGATTTAAGCTAATAAATATTCAAACTCTGCAGTGACGGTCGCCTTCTGCAACCAGAAGGTAAAACCTGTCAGTCCCCACCGTATATCGCCTAATCACCACATGAATAATCTTTACAAACAAGGCAATATCCTCCATCTCGTGTCTGCTTTGACACTGGGAGCTCGCGGCGTGTCTCATTATATTTGCTGCCATTCCTGAAGTCTTCATTCCCGTCTGACGCTGGTTTTACGGTCTATTGGCGCTGTCCACAGGAGGTGGTGCTGAAATCTCACCCTCCTCTGCCTGTGTCCACCTCTCTCCCTCTGAATGCTGAGGCGCTGTCCGTGGTTCTGAATCGGCTCTGCCCACAGAGGGGGGGAAAAAAAATGATGATTTATTTTTTTTTTCTCACCGGCTGGGTTACTGGGCGGAGCAGATTGGACTTCGTCACAGCCGGGTCTGTCTGAACGAGGCAAACAAGCCAGAGTCTCAGCAGGCAGGGAGCTCCACGCCCTGTTTGCTTCTGAGCTGCCACATGAGACAGCGTCATCTACAAAGGGATGGGAGGCCTGAATACATCCCTTAGATGGATATTAAACATGAGAGGGGTAGAGGCTGGATGGAGTATCACGTGTATCGAGGAGAAAGATCTCGGCGATACTTATTTTTGCACAAATGTGACAAAAAAAAAAAAGGGTTGTGCTATATTTCAGCAATCAAAGGCATCTCCCGTCCTCTCTACCGCTACTTAACGCCTGTGTTTTTAATATTCAGTCCAACACATTGGGAAAGTGCATCCAGTGGGATGTTGTGTGAAAACAACGGCTGATCCCGGCTCACGAGAGGCCGGCCCCTCTCTCGGTCCTGACTTTCCCCGGAGTAGAAAAGCCAGCCAATCAGAGAGTGGATGAAGCAGCGAGTCACGGAGGGAGCAGGACTGCATCCAGTGGACCGAAAGGAGCCGCCTGCCACTCTGGGCAGGAAAAATGTAACGTCCACGGAGGGAGTGATCCGGTCAGGACACACACAGATACAGGAAAAGCACGCTCTTTTTGGGCTAAAGTGTAACAGATTTAATGCCGAAAGTGTCTCTCTTCTATCACAATTTTATGTTTTTGCTCTCTCTTCCACAACGCATGAGACAGGTGATTACTGTCTAAATGTTGCCACCGCTTAATAACTAACCAAACACTCACTGTAACACAAGGTTGCATGAAGGTCAACATGCCTCGATCCAAACACAACTCGGGCTGAGCTGTGTTTAAGCTTCATAATGGTTCAGCACAGTCCGGTGTGTGTTATTCAAGGCTTTCCAGCCGCTAGATAAACAAAAACCCTGTGTGAATGGGCCGTGTGAATGTGTGCTAGAGACGCTCATTAACTATTGATGCAATGGGAGATCTCACAGCTGGATACACATCAGACGCCACAGACACACATTCGGTAGTTGTTGAACCGCATGACAATGCCAGCGGGCGCAATAGGTTACGAGAAAAGGAGTGAATTGTTCGTTTCAAGCGAGAAGAGGAGATAAATCTGAAGGTAACAATGTGCAACAATATGAAAGGTGAGCAGATTGTTCAGGTCCGCTATGGGATGTGCAAATCCTTTTTTTCATGGAGCAAAAAAAAAAGAAAAAGGGTGCAGTGGATGTGAATAGAGTTTAATGGACCTCGCAGGAGAATAAAGGATTCTGAAGGTGGTGGGAAAATGAAGTCAAAATGGATCTGAAATCCAACTGAATTAGTTTTGCGTTTATAAAGACCGGAGCCGCGTGTTGGCTTTCATGGGTCGAGACAATGGAATCAAATAGACAGGGGCCTCTTTCATGTTTCTAAATGAGAGAAGACACAAAAAAATATAATTGTAAATTGTATTAAGAACAGAGAAGCTTTTGTTCAGCCTCTGGCTTTGTTTAATAGTCATCCTGCACGTCAGCATGCACGAACGGAGGGAAGGATTGGAAGGAAGAGAGATCGACTAGTTCAGTTCAGTTTGAATCTGGGATAATGAGAGTTGAGAGAGAGAGAGGAAGAGATAAGAGGCCACGATGACAAACCACAAACATGACAAACAGCAGGAAAGGGAGTACAGTGATTCGGTTACAGTATAACTTCTCATTAAATGACCTGGGTGAGCAAGCCTCGCTGTCGTGATATACACACAGCTGCAAAACACGGCACGTTTCTCTTTTCTGTAAGGAAACAGCTGTCTCCTCGTACTATAATGATGCCAGCGTTGCCGGGCTGAGCCTAACTCTCCCTGGCGGTCTGCTTATCCCTGCCTGTCACTACTGCCACGGATCGCAAACCAATGCTGAGACCTGCTTTCAAGCAACTACAAAACATGAAGCCACAAACAGAATCATTGGGAAAAACTGAATATATGTGCAAAAATATCTCGAGTAGGAGTATTTAACGCCGCATCATTTGAGGGCGAAAGGATCTGTGCCAAAACAAATAAAGTGAGACGGAGAAAAAGTGCTTCCACTGGTTTCAGTGTCTCCAGTCTTTTTGTCCTTCTCAGTGATCCCTGTCATTGTAAATCTGACATGCGCTGACATCTGTGTGTCATCCTGGATGAGCTGCAGTCCAAAAAGACACTACACCTCCTCCTCCTTATCAACCCTTATCAACCCGACTCGTCCAGTCACAATTACAGTACAGTGTCCGGCTCACTCACACACACACACACACACACACACACACACACACACACACACACAC